CCACTTGAGCCACAGCGCCACTTCCGGCTTTTTTCTTTTTGCTTATGTGGTGCTGAGGAATCGAACCCAGGGCCTCAGGCATGCAAGGCAAGCGCTTTAACCACTGAGCCATCTTCCCAGCCCATAATTAATATTCTTAATGGTATTTTTTTTCTTCTAACCAGTACTATATGGTTTGAAACCTGGCCCTGAACTTTCCCAGCTTGCTTGCTTGGATCCACTCCCTTGAGTCATGTCTCTAGCCTGGCTTTTAGGAATTTTAAGGATTTAGGTGGGGAGGGAAAGTGGGGCTAGAAGTATGGCCTAAGTGTATAATAACAGCCTCACAGAGCAGGAATGCCTGAATTCAAACTGCAGATGGCTCACATCTCAGCTACCTGGGAAGCTGAGATTGGAAGATTGCAGTTTGAAGCCAGCCTGACAATAAAGTCCATGGGGCTTTTTATTCATAATTAAAAGCCCTATAAGTAATGATGATCAAGTCAGCAAGTCTAGTGCTGCCCTTCGGTCTATTGTCCTTTATATGGAGCTCCTGGAGAAGGGGCACAATAGTTTCCTTTAACATCTGCATTTCCCTTCCAGTTGCTTTTCGACTATATGATTTGGATAAAGATGACAAGATCTCTCGTGATGAGCTGTTACAGGTATGTGGGAAAGTTCTGGCACAATTTGTGTTTTGGATGCTGACTGCTGATCTTTTTCTTCTCTTTTTTTTTTTTTCAAGTTTATTTTTTGGCCAGTCCTGGGGCTTGAACTCAGGGCCTGGGTACTGTCCCCAAGCTTCTTTGTGCTCAAGGCTAGCACTCTACCACTTGAGCCATAGAACCACTTCTGACTTTTTTTGAGTAATTTATTGGAGCTAAGAGTCCCATAGACTTTTTTGCCTGGGCTAGCTTTGAACCATGATCCTCAGATCTCAGCCCTGAGTAGTTAGGATTAAAGGTGTGAGCCACCAGTGCCCAGCTGACTGCTGATCCTTGTGGCAGAATTGCTCCTTCCTTTAGTCAGCGCTGACTTCACACCTGCTTTGTGCAGAGTCCTGCCAGAGATCAAAGACTGAGCAGATGACCTGGAAATGGTTCCGAGAGTCTTCACAGATGGATGTCACCACCAGTTACATGCCAACTTGCAGATTAGACTTGATGTGAGTCAAAGCAGTGCTGTTGTGCCAGTGTGAGCCGTGTTGACCATGCTGGTCCTTTGTCCATCCTGTGAACATTGCCCTGCCTCCTATGAGGAGTGATTGGCATTTTGTCACTGGCTCTGCTGCTTACAATGTTTTCTCACCTTGTTTGCTTTTTCCAGTAACGCTATACCACTTGAACCATGCAACCAGCCCAGCTTTGTGCTGGGGATAGAGCCTTGAGGACTTCTTTGTATAGGCTGGCTTTGAACTGCAATCCAGCTCTTAGCCTGCTGAGTAACTAGGTTTTTCTTTTTTTTTTTTTCCTTTATTTTTTTCTTTTTTGTCAGTCATGGGGCCTGAACTCTGGGCCTGCACACTGTCCCTCAGCTTTTCAGATCAAGGCTAGCACTCTATCACTTGAGCTACAGTACCACTTCCAGCTTTTTCTGTTTGTGTGGTGCTGAGGAACTGAACCCAGGGCCTCATGCATGCGAGGCAAGCAAGCACTCTACCACTGAGCCACCTTCCCAGTCCCGATTAACTAGATTATAAACATGATCCACCTGGCTTATAAAATTATTTTCCTATCCTCCGCATGCTAAGCAGCAGTCTACAATTCAGAATAATTGGATTAGCCAGGGCCAGGGGCTCTCACCTATGATCTTAACTAGTCAGGAAGCTGCGATCAAAGCATCTCCATTTGAAGCTAGCCTAGGCAGGAAAGTCCCCCAGAGATTCTTCTCTAGTTAACCAACAGGAAATCAGAAGTGGGCTGTGGCTCGAAGATACTCAGGGACAGTGGTTAGGCCCTGAGTTCAAGTCCCATAACAACAAATTTGATTGAGATGTAAAGAAACTGCAGTTTGAAGATGGATTCATCTTCCTGGCCATTTACACTTAAGGAAGATGGTAATGGCTTGGCCTAAACGATCTTTGGTGGCACATCTGGGCTTACAGTGTACGACTCCCACCATCTTTCAGCACTGGATGGTTACTGCAGTAGAAGTCATTTTTGGATTTCATCTGCCAGAGTCCGTCTTTTCCCACTTCTCAGAGTTACATTATGAAAGTTGCTCATTTTGTTCAAGGAAACGATTTTGTATACATGTAAGTGTTGCTGGGGGTTGGACTCGGAGCCATGTTCATGCTAGGCAGTGTTCTTCCACAAGCACTGTACCATTGAGCCACCGCCACCTTTCCAACCCCAAGGATGTTTATGTTTTGTGGGCCATATCCAAGGAGTACTGGCTTAATAATGTACCTCTTCACAGAGGACTGCATTTCGCTGGGATTCCAGGGAGCTCTATTAAACTAACTTCCATTAATAGTTTGCCCCCCCTGTAATAAGACATTTAGGGATAGGGCACTTAGTCTGATACAATACCTGTGGAATTGCCAGGATCTTCTGCTGTGTTCTTGTTCTTGCATCCATAACACATGTTATGGCTTCAGGATGGCTGCCGAGCACCAGACATTCTAGGAAGAATGGAGGATTCGCAAAATGCAAAGGACTCTCCCTTAGAGGCATTTGACCTTGCCTGTGTTCTGCTCACGTAGGCATGTGCAGAATGGCCTAGATAGCAGAGGAGAGTTGGAGCCCGCAAACTTCAGAGAATCACAGGCGAGGAGGAGTCGGGTGGTCCCTCTCCAGGACCCCTGTAATTGCAGATTCTTGGTCTTGTAGGTGCTACGCATGATGGTTGGAGTGAATATCTCAGATGAGCAGCTGGGCAGCATCGCAGACAGGACCATCCAGGAGGCCGATCAGGATGGAGACAGTGCCATATCTTTCACAGAATTTGTTAAGGTCAGTCAGTCGCCTCTTGATTTCAAGTTCAATTCTACTGCAGAGGAGGGCCGGCAGTGGATGGGGGGCTGGTGCTGAGAATCGTTTTGCACTTCATAGCTCAATATGTTTTTTTCTTTGTGTCTTTTTTGTTTTTTTTTAACAGGTTTTGGAGAAGGTGGATGTGGAACAGAAAATGAGCATCCGATTTCTTCACTGAAGGACAAGAGACCAAGCTGTTCTTGCTTTCTAGTATTTAAGAACTGGAACATAGGCATCTCCTGCCCGCCAGCCCCACATCCACCCACCAGCCCCCTTCTCCCAGAGAACTACTGCTGTTGCATGACAACCCCAAATCTGTGCTGTCCACACAAGCCTGCCTTTGGTCTATAAACAGGGCATTACAGAATGGTACCCCCACCCCACCCAGTCTATTTCTGTTCAATATCCATGCACCGTTCTCCACTTAGAAATACCACCTTCCTCTCTCTGCTGCTGACACTCCCCCTCCAAGCATTGTGAGACAGTGTGAGAGGGACTCGCACCAAGAACCAGCCAGCAAAGCTCTCACTGGATGTAGACTAGCCACGCTGCCTCCCCTCCAGTGAAGCTCCACCGTGCCCTGCGTCCTTGTATGTGTTCTTTGTGCCCTACTTGGCACCTACCACCCAATAGTCTTTCAGCTTTCCCCTGCTTTTTACTGAGCCTCAAATCCCTCGGTACTACTTGGCACCCAAGCTATGCCTGTTCGATCTCTTTCTGACTTGGCAGGATGGTTCGGTGGTCTGGCAGTTTTTAATCTACCTTCATTGAATGGTTAATGGATCTCTGGACGTTGCCTTTCCAGGAGCTTTCAGTCACCAAATCTCTTGGAAGAATGTGAGCCTTTCTTAGTCCCCTGCCCTGTTGTGTCATCAAAAGGCTTCCAAGTGGAGACGTCCTTGAAAGGCGGCCTTGTCGGGAAGAGCAGAGCTGTGTCCTAGGTGACGTTCCTGGTCAGTGTACTGCTGGCTTCTGATTCTCAACTTCATATACCTGCATCCCTCCTCTTGCGAGGGCAGTGTTGACTGTTCAGAAAATTGTCCTGCCTGCGAGTTTGCTTAGCTTTGGGACATTGTCACCACTACCATGGCTGCTCTTGACAGTATGCTCGGGAACCGTCTTGTGGCCTTTTTTTTTAAACATGGATGCCCTGGGAAGCTACTCTGCAGAGTGGGTTATTCCTCAGTGTTGCATGCCCTGAATTCATTTCCATTTCATAGGCCCAAGCAGAAAGGCTAGTGCTACAGAAGTGCCTAACTTATCCCAGTCCAAAACAATTGAACGGTTGTGTCTTGAAGGTTTGCACACAAAGTCTTTACGAATTTTACACATGGGCAAATTCCAGTGCTGGAAGCCATAGTCAGCTTCTACTACACGTCCAAAGCATTGGATGTACTCAGTCATTAGCTGCCTGGTTACATTCGTTTCCTTGCTCCTAGAGTGGACCACTGCAAATCCCTCAGAAACAAGAGATCTGGCACTGGTGGCACAACCTAAGGTGGCATTCGAGGTGTTTGAGGGAGCCAGAGCAACTGTTCTTTTACTGCCAGAGTTAACTTAGTTTAGACTTAATTGGATCAGCTGATTGCTGCCCCGTATGTATGAGTATTTATTCATATATCTGTCCTTGGCTAATATTCTCTGATTTACTGCTTTCTTGCTTGCCTGCTTGTGTCCTTGCTTTGAAAAACAATTCTTTGGGAAAGCAGTTGCTTTAGGGAAAAAAATATCCACTGCAAAGGGAATGGTGGAGAATAGATGAATGGCCAGGCTGGAAGGTTCAAGTAGAAATGAATGAGGAATTGTTAATGGAGTAGCAGTCTGACTCTGTGATCCAGTGATGTTACATCACAATTGTATAAAAGGGAATTGTCTGGTTGATTTTTTAGCAAGGTGCTTCAGAGACTCTTATTTGCATATTTAAAGTTCCCCCAAATTATGGCTTTTGTACCCTTTGGCTGTAGTGCAGTGTTTCAATCCACAGTTGTGCCTTATTGTATTCTTTGACCCATCAATAAATACTTGTGGTTAAAACAAAATAAGCTGGTTGATTCTGTGTGTTTTGCAAGAATTTTACTTGAAGTGACTTTCAAGTTTGAAATCACCAAAGGTGTCTCCTTGTGCTGGCCAGAAAAGCTGGAACAACAACAAAAAATCCAAGCCAGGCGTCAGTGGTTCATGCTTGTAATACTAGCTACTCAGGAGACTGAGATCTGAGGATCGTGGTTCAAAGCCAGCCGGGGCAGGAGTGTCCATGAGACTCATGTCTAGTTAACCAGTAGAAAATTGGAAGTGGAGCTGTGGCTCAAGTGGTGGAGCCCCCACCTTGAGCTAAAGAGCTGAGAGACAGTGCCCAGGCCCAGACAACCAAAAAAAAAAAAAAATTCTTGCATGATGCAGATGGTCTGCTTTTTGATGGTGGAAGGGATCCTTCACATCCATCCCAAGCGACCATGCAGAGGCAGGCAGGCACAGGAGACAGATTATTAAAAGGTTATTAGAGGAGCCATATTTCCCCAAAGAGGGAGCACATGTTATCGGTCCCTATCCAGGTAGCAGGAAGGTCTGAGGTCAGGAAGTCAGGTCAGTGGGTGCTCAGGTAGGTCTGGGCACAGAGGGCGTGGCCAGCTATAGGGTGGGAATTTGGGGGCAAGGAGGAGCTCAGGTATGGGTGGAGCTGAGACCAAAGGTGGGCGTAATGTTAACAGATGGTCAGGTGGTCCCTGTTGAATCAGTTGGTTGGTTGGTTTTAGGCCTGGGTGCTGTCCCTCGGCTCTTAGCTCAAGGTGAGGCCTGTACCACTTTTTTTTCTTTTTTTTTGCCTGTCTTGAGGCTTAAACTTGGGCACTGTCCCTAAACCTCTTTGTGCTCAAGGACAGTACTTTACCACTTTAGCTACAGCACCACTTAGGGTTTTTTCTGAGTAGTTCATCGGAGATGAGAGTCGCACAGCCTTTCTTGCCCACGTTGGCTTTGGACCAGGATCCTCAGTTCTCAGCCTCCTGAGTGGCGTGAGCCACAGGTGCCCAGCGGTATTACATTTTTATTCAAGGTAGAAGGCAAAACGACAAATGAATGGATAAAATGTGATAGACGTATAGTGGGATATTAATTACTTAAAAAACAAAACAGGAAATTGGACCTGCTTGTGGTGGGGTAAACCTGTAATGCCAGCACTCAGCACTCGGGAGGCCCAGGCCAGAGTCAAGAGTTTGAGGCCAGCCTCAGCAGCATAAGCGACACCAGGTCTCAAGCATTTCAAGTTACAGAGGAAAAATCTCAATTTTTTCCTGTAACAAGATGAAAACTACCTGGGGCCAGCAGTGAAAGTATTACTATAATTCAGCTTCATGCTGGCTTAATAGAAGCGGCCTGGCCACACCACCGAGGAGACACGACGTCCACGCGGAAATAACTCCGCATCCCTAATCGAACTACAATTCAATCTGTCCCAGTTACGGCCACCCAAGCCCCCAAGCCAACCGGGAAGAGCCTGAACCGGTGGGAGTTGATTGACGGGCATTCCAGCCAACCCGCGACGGCATCGGAGCGCCTGCGCAGGGAAGACCGGGGCCAATCAGGGCTCGGCTGCGCGGGGCGGGCCCAGTGGGAACCGCCCACCGCTGGGTTGGTGGAGCTGAGAAGGAGCGAAGATGGCGGAGTGACTCGTCCTGGGGCCCGCGGGGCTCCGGTCCCGGGGCGTGCGCGCTGGGCGCCGCGAGGCTTGGCCGGCCTGCTGGACTGTGCGAGGTGAGCCGACGGTGCTGTGGAAGGGCCAGCGAGCTGTTGGCGGGACGGCGAGGCTGGGTGAGAAGGAGCCGGCCGGGGGCGGAGCCCGGCGGG